CTATTTGTAACGTTGAACCATTACGTGAAACAATTATTGGCCGTAACATCGGACCATCACGCGAAACAATTATTAACCGTATCGTAGAACCATCACGTGAAACAATTATCAGCCGTAGCGTTGAACCCATCGAATTGCGTGTTATTAACGTTTCCAGTAACAGTGAATCGGTACGTAATGCTGACCTTTCTCGTAACATAGTTACTCCAAAAAATATGAATCATTCCCAGAACTCTGAGATAATGCATAATAGTACGACAGACATCCAAATGCCAAATACATCATATAGCACAATTGGTGACGTTTCGCGACACCCGGATGTACCGAGTGTGGTAGATCCATTTCGTATGAATGATTTATCACGAGATATGGAGATTTCACGAAATGCAGAAATGGTCTGCAATACCGATGTGTCCGGTAATATAAAAGAAACCAGTAAAAGTGACGAGTTAACAGGAAAAAGCACTGATATCACTCGTGGGAAATGTAATCACTGATATTATCTGTTATCATTTCATGTATATATTTGTTAATATTATTAATATCGTGCTTATTTTATATTCATAAGTGCACACAGACATTTTTGACGTTTTAATTTTTATCATTGGTCGAAATTCATAACATGGAATAAAGAATGAAATCCAATATATATAAAAAATATTTCAAATTTCCTATGCAAATTTGTTATAATGTGAGAGTAACTGATGGAACTATAAATTAATTACAGCACATCTGAATGTTCAAAAATCGCCACCAGAAAAGACAAATCAATTACAACGACTTCGAGCATCTCAATCACTTCTGATGAATACTGACGATATTAAAGGTTGCTAATTGTTTTATCTAACTTCTGACAATAACTTTAAATCAAACGTTTCGAAAGAGTATGGTAAACGAAAGTAATAAATATGAATGAAAAGAAAAAATTGTCATGGAAGAGTTTTTAAGTGCGGAATGAATTTGAATTGGAATCAAATACTGAAGAATTCATTTGTAATAGTAACAGTTTTCGAATCAATAATTTTTATGTAATATTGCTGTTAATATTATCGTTAAATCTAAATTAAACCTTAAAATTGAATATTTTCCAACATAGTTAATTATAATTATATCCTGCTTTATTTCAGCCATGAAAGTTGAATTACCCGAAAAAATAGAAGTGGAAAAGTTGAGTGATGGAGCAATCGAACAACAACTTACATCATTAAATCAATAAATAACATATCCAAATTTTTTAAGTTTCGATTTTTAAAGCAAAACTTGCATGTTTATTTTTTCTTAAATTGAGTCATATGAGGATGTTCATCAATCGTTGATAAGTAAGTCGTATCATGGTTAATTTATCCTGAAATTTAATTAATTCATCTTTGATATAATTAAATTACTTTTCCATAGTTAACAAGGGCGAATGGAAAACAAAAACAATTACTTGATCGGTCATTATCATTAGTCGATCGATTATTAAACAATTGCTTAATCGATCATTTATGAAAATCGTTTAAATTAAATGGTAGATATTGATTACATCTTATGATTTCATTCAGCATTCTTCAGTTGCACCAAAAATAAAAACAAAAAATGGAAATTTAACTGAAAGAATTTTGCCGGTTTTTTTATTTCAACTTTTCTAAGTTATCTAATTTTGTTACTAGACGTTTAAAAATATTAATAGATGAGAATGAAAAAG